GAAACGCAGGGAGGTCACGTGGCGAGTTCACGTCGCCGGGGAGAACCACCTTCGTACGAGGCTTTCATGCATGGCTATAGTCTTGATCGGTGAAACCCCGCTGTGGCCAGCAGCATGCTTCATCCAGCTACCAAGAGAGGTTAAGTGACCTTATAGGACCCTACTGGGGTACCTATGCGATAGTCTATAGGGTTCTTTAACCTCTGTTGCTAGTCCATCGTCAGACCCCAAGACGTCGCCGAGTTCGGTTCCCCAAGTCGCCGCTCACCACGAGCGGTTTTTTGGCGCCAGGAGGATCTGTCGCACCTGCCGCTCGGCGATCGATGGGCTCGGCAGAGATGTTTTACCTTGTTTTGCCTTTGTTGGGCTGGGGGAGGGGAAAGTGAAGTGTAGGCAGGTTGGACAATTCATAGTTGCCAGCCACAAAAGGCTCAATTTGCGTTATGCTGGTATCTCGCAGTGTCTCGCCTTTGTAACAAGACAGCTTTGTTGATGCCATTTCTTTGAGCTGACTCACTTGAGGTGGGTGGCCTGTTGACACAAACAAGTAGTGTCGAGTCACCATCAAGCCGATTTGAATGAAATATTCGCACGCTGGCAATCCAACAGCTAAACAACTAGTTTGTTTGGACGTGGACCAACACTAGCATGAAGAGGTGTTCCCTCGTTTTTGTTTGAGTCAAAGGCTGTCCACACTTTATGGACCTGTACGGTGGTTTGATTGGCAATGCCCACGAAGAATTGCAGAATTGCAAGGTAAAATAATGTCCACCACATAATGAAGGTTTCTGGATATTCTAGCTATAGTGAAATGAGTTCTCTTTAACGAGGTGGGTTTTGGCCATATCGGCCATATATCAAATTGGCATTTAGTATTAGTATCATTTGTTGTTTGGTTTGTTCATCTTATGTTATTTTATGTTTAATAATGTGGATCCACTCACTTAAATATATGTTCGTCCTGCTTCAGGGAGCTCAATTTACCACAACTTCTGGCACGGTGACACCTCAATACGAATCTGAATCAAGGGGCCGCAGTGTGTTCACCGTTTGACACTCCCTGAGAGAATCACGGCAGTCGTGGAGAACCAACTGTTTGTAGAGGAAAATGGTAATCCGAGATCCAAGGGGCCATTCTCCACTTCCATGTTTTTTTTTTTTTTTTAAATGGAGTCTACAGTAATACTTCAGAAGGACGAGCGCTGGTCAACCTTCACTAATGGTGTTCCCAGGCTTGCAAAACATAGCAAAACAGTGGCAAACAGTTGCATGACATGTGCATCTCCTTCCCAACGGAATTGGGAGTGTCACCCTTAACAAATATGAACAAATTGTATTGTTTTAAACACAATTCTGTAAACCCACTTCAGAGTGGACACGACACTGCTCGAACTGCATTGGTGAATCATGTGGCGTTTGTGTTGTTCAGGCTGGGCAAGTGTTGTAGGCTGTAGGTCATCTCCGTGTGCCTGTTTCTGGAGAAGTCTCCCATAAGACCAGCCATGGTCAGCCATCCGATCTTTGGTTCTGCATTGATTCTATGCCGCTGTCCAATTCCACAATGCGATGCTTAGAACCCCACAGCTGACCCGGCCTGCTCGCAGCTGCCTTCAACTGGCCTGCGCTTCCGCACTTGAGGTTCCCAGACATTTCCGCCATTAGTGGTCGAGAAGTTGCGCTGGAGAGCTGGTAGTTGGGAAGAAATGCTTGAGATCAGGTTGACTGGGATATATCAGGGTCAGCTGGACTCCCTGCTAGATCATGAACAGTGTGAGTAAGGCGCTGGTGGTGTTGGTGTTTGGGCGCTTTGGAGGTAGGTTTCCTAGTTGAAAACGACCTTTCGAGGACGGTCTTTTTGGGCGTAGGGTAGATGTGTTTTGAAGATCCGGGAACGGTCCTTGAGGGTTGATGAATCAAGAAGGATCAAGTTTTAGACTGCTTGACTTGAAAAAAGGCATGGACCACTTGAGAGCAGGTGACTTGACCGGCGCAGGTATAACTCACCGTGCTATGGAAGGAAATTCATGACTTGGTGAGCCCTCCGTGTTTGTTTACATATCGGACCGATATGTGCCATGTGGTTAATGGACGAGATTCAGCATCCATTTGGCCGTGGGTCCAAACCACGGTAGGTGAAGTTTCCCGGTGAATGTGTTTTTTTCCATATTCTGTTCAATTTCGGTGGTCAACCAGGGTCCGCCCGTTTTGATCGCCATTTGGGCATCATGTGGGACGAGCGACCTCGCCACCCAGGGGCACCAAGGTATGTGGAGTCCATGCGAGACCTTCAGCGGCTCCTGGAAGATGGGATGTCTCGAGAGATGCCACTTGGGTGTTCTTCTGGATCGGTGCGCGGCCCTGTTTCCACCGTGGAAGGGGAGTCAGTGCGCCACCAGGTTTATCAAACGGTTTATCCTGATAAAATACCGCTGAAACAGATCCAACATAGACACCCGATAGCTATATGCTAGGCCGTTTTGTAAAAATTAGCATGCAAAAGTGCAAAAGAGGCCATGAACTGGTTTGGACATGCAGGTGTGTTTGGAACAAGAACGCAACCACGATAGTCTATCATTTTATTGGCAGGCTACCAGTTGAAATCTGTGGAAACGCGAGTGTGAAAACAACATCTCTCACATATCTCTCACATCAATCAAAAAGTACACCGCTCCTTGATGTGTCTGTTGTATAAGAACATGGCATATGGCAAGACATGTCTATATAATATATTATGTAACTTACTTGGGGATCGCTGGTGGGATCAGCTCCCCGGCAGCATGGCCGCCGGCTCGATAAGGCAGTGGAGTGATGAAGAGATGCTGCCATTGGTCGAGGAACCACCGGACCCTCGGCGAGAGGCGAGACGCTGTTCTCGGCTGCAGCAAGAAAGCATGGCGTAAGAGGTGGATTCAGAGGTTCGATGGCACAGACCTCAAGATGTCCACATGGGGGTTCATATGAACCACCTCTTGGGGGTTGTGCCATTTACTCTCAATCCACTATAAATTTCTAGGTTCATGAACCAGGACCATGACCAATCATGATGACCAAATGTAGCATGCATCGTTAGACCCCATGCCTGCATGTTGGCGTAGTGTCGTTGTTTTTCATCTCTTTCCGCAACTCTTTCGCTCTCAAATGGCCAAAGCATGAAGATAGTTTTTGCCGTTGGTGTGGCACAGTGTCTACACTTGTCAGCCCATTGTGAACACCACTCAGATGCTGGTCATGTCATGTTCATTCCTATGATTCGAATGTTCCTACATGAGGAGACACCTCCACCACTACAAACTCCTACTTTGCAATAAAGAACGGGTTTGCCACCTGCTTTTGAGACTCAAACTAGCCCCGCCTAACGATCTACATACCCTTGGAGAAGAAGTTTGGGGATGGCGCGCCCAAAGGTGACTGGAGGGGAACCGTGCATCCACCGCGCGTCGAAAAACACGAAGCACCTGCGCCTGGCCTCAGCTTTATCATGTCTTTTCCCCTCTCTGGCACAGTTCCACCACGAGTCTCAGGAGATTGTTGCACAATGTGAGACGTCCGTCTTCCATCTCATAGAGCCTTGGACTGGGCCGAAACCCGATCCTCGACAGACTGGGGCGCCCCGAGACATGGCTTTAGTTAGCTTCACCCGAAGTAGATTTAGGAATTCTGCATGTTGTTTTGTGATTCGTTCGCCTTGGCCGTTCTACGTAGCGTTGCCCGCGCAATGAGGTTCATTGTGTGCGTGTTGTTTTTTTTCTCATTTGCTCATCGAATTATTCCATGAGATTCGGCGATTTGGGTTGGATAGCTGTGATGGGGAACCCCGTAGCAACTGCCAAGGGGGGTGATGTGGGAGGCAGATGTCCTTCAAGGTGCGCTACTAATGCACCATTGATCATGCCATGCTATGTTCATGCTATTATATTAAAAGTATAGAGATAGATAGATATAGATAGATAGATAGATAGCATACACATACACCACGTTTAACATAAGATCTCTATATACTATCAATACCTTCTCATTTTGTCCTTACTCTCAATCACCTTTTGGGGAGCCGCGCATGTGTTTAGGTCCAATTTTAGGTGGACGATAATCACAGAACATGCCAGTTGGATAGGCAGTGGTCAGTCAGAGCTTATGTGTGTTTCCTGACGACTCAGGTTCAGATCGTGGTCATTCTGGCTGGCTTGAACGACCTTATTTGGCTGTGTCAATGGTGGCAACTGCCGGAAGGCCAGTCATCACATCCGGATGAAGGGAACAAACAATGACAAACATAGAAACTCTCCCGTGATGGCGGAGGCTGAAGTCTTTCCACTGTCAGTTTTGGGAGAGGGCAACTGAAAGAAACTCCATGAAACTGAAAGAAACTCCATGAAACCTGAAAGAAACTCCACGAAACTGAAAGAATCTCCATGAAACTTAAAGACACTCCATGAAACTTAAAGACACTCCATGAAACTGAAAGAAACTCCATGAAACCTGAAAGAAACTCCATGAAACTGAAAGACACTCCATGAAACTGAAAGACACTCCATGAAACTGAAAGAAACTCCATGAAACCGAAAGAAACTCCATGAAACCTGAAAG